CGGCGGCGTGTCCGCCCTGAAAATTTCGGCGGCTGCGCCAAGCGGCATGAGGAAACCAGGCGGCAGCGGTGGCGCACAGCTTCATCTAAGCTAATTTATTTTCTGTTATGTTTTTTGCAACCCCACTTTCATTTTTTTTTTAAATTTTATTTTACCAGTAAAGCAGAACTGTCGTTTTTAAGTTTTGTTGTACTAAAAATTATTTGACAAGAAGAACTAAATTATTTTACCAGAAATTAGTAGACTTGAAAATATATTAGTTTGGTACTAGAAATTATTTTGCTGTACTTGTCATTGTTTGTTTTTTTATGCTATTCTACACTGTTCCTACTTCTATGTACCAACTTTGTTTTTGATATCATTCTAAATTGTTCTTACTTCGTATTGACCCCCTTACACAATGCCTCTGCGAGGCCTGTAAGGTAGTTGTAAATAAATAAATAAATAAACAAATAAATGCAGTGTCTCTCATTCACCAGAAGTTTCGGCCACTTATAAGCTCACTTTTGAGTAATTATTGACATCTTCCAAAGTCAAATAAACATGCTTTATAAAAGCATTGTAACAACTTATATGCAAAACTATTTCTATCAGCACAGACCGACATGTTAAAGCAATAGTATATGCATCATTAAATAGCTTGTCTGAATGAGCACTTTGCAAGCCAAGCACAATTTATTCACGCTGATGATCGAAATTTAAATGTCACAATGAAATACATTTTCTCCCCAATTTCAATCAACTAACTCTGAAAAGTGAATATAACCAATCCAATGCAGCAATTCTGACATGGTCAGGTCCCCAAAACATTCTCAATTTCAAAAGGAATTAGGGTGCAACATATGCATAAAATGATAAATGGATTTTATGAAAAGGCTGTTGCAATGCCCTTTTGGCAATATAAAAAGCACGCAGCTTTTTGGTTGCTAAGTAAACTAAATGTAAGCATATCCATGAGAACACAGATTACTGTTAAGGCGAGCAAAACAACACAATGTACCCAAACAATTTTATCCTTGGCCCATAACAGTCTTAAGCATTGTAATGTAGATTTTCATGGTGCATTGGCCAAACTTGGCCAAAGAGCGCCATGAAGGATGAAGAAAAAGTAAATATACTTTGTTATCTATCTCAGTGCTTAAAGACCAACTCCGGCGATTTTTCGGAGGTGAGCGGATCTCAATGAAATTCACCGAATATGTTCATTTGCACATTTGTGCCATTCATGCCAAAATTGCAGGCTTAAAGGTTTTGCAGATTCCTTTCAAATGAATTCTATAGCTTGTTCCATACTCTTACCCTCCTTGTCAAGAGTTAATGGCAACATTCTGTGTGTGACATTGATTTTCAAAGTAGAAGTGACAGAATTGATGTGCCACTGCAGCGTCTGCTTGTCCTCCATAGTGTGGGTTTAGCCGCGCTTCCTTGGTTGAGGGTGTGATAAACATTTTGTGTTGGTGGACTTGCGATAGGTGGCAAGTGGTGTTGTGTTGTGAGCCTCACGAGATTCACTATATATTCACTATAAAAGCACAAGCGTTTTATCTGATAACCACAGGCACAAACTTGGACGGCCTGGACAAGTAGTGCTATCTAGCGGGATTATGTGTAACCAGGCAGGTTCTGGTAAAGCATTACGCCATACACCTCAACCACAATATGGTTCAAATTCATCTTCCGTACGTTCAATTGTTTTATACTACCTTTCCTTCAATACCAGCTGCTTCTTACTACACACTGAAAAAGGTGTTTCCAACATTTACTTTATTTATAATCGGCACTGCTTCAACAACCAACGTAGCAAAGTTGAGGAACCTCCAACCGCGCTGGCTCCTCATCTTCTCCCACTGCATTTATCTGTAATAATCAGAGCTGCACCGAATCTTCAAAGGGATTACCAATTCCAGAGGCACAGAGTTTGATTCTCGAGCCCATGGTAGCTCACCAGTTTTTATGACGGTGAGTTATTTTGTGCTGGCGCTTCTTAGTGCAAATGTACGTGTAATGCAGGTTAAAGAAGCATATTTCTGCCGCCTACAAGGGCATACAGCTCAGCTTCACTTGTGACAGAGGAAGCAGAAGTGAAAAAGTTAGGGAAAAGATTAATCAATCCCCTTAAAAAAACGAGTGTACCGACAACACAAAGATAATAGGCACTTTCTCTGCCACTTAGAAAAACGGCGGCCCAGGGAATCGAACAAAGAAACTCTGTGAAGCTCACTTTTTTTATTTTACTTTCTCTTTAACCAGTACACCCATTCCCTGGCACAAGTAAGTAGCTGTTATTCTCATTCACGAGCCTCCAATATAAGCATGCTTCATAACCTTAAAGGGACACTTAAGACAAACTACAACTCTGTTCGCTTTTGCCCACAAGCTATAGTATACTACACACCATTTACAGTATACCGCACATCAAGAACCTCACTACAGGATGCAATATCGCTCTTCCGTTCCACCTTACAGGAAAGGATGAAGATCTTTTGTTGAATAGGCGCTATTCAGTTCTCAAGCTAATTTTGAAATCGAGCAGGTCACCAAAATGTCTCAGTAACATAATCCTCATTTCACACCAGTTTGAAAGAGGTTCAAACATGAAAGCCATGTTCTTTCCTCATTGGTATATGTATAACAGAGCGGGGAACATGTGCCGCGATTTCATGTGTCAATGCCATGCCCAGTCTTCATTTTCTTTTTGTTGAGGCCGTGCACTCACCGGTATGATTCACCACCAGAAAGAGTGCGCAACATCAGTATCCTGTGGAGTTACGTCATAGGACATCACACCAGAATTTGTATCATCATGATGACATCACCAAATGTTTTTCGATGCGTGATGTTTTGATGACTTCATGTGGTGGCATCATCACATGACAATGATTTGTTGCATCACTTGTCCTTAACCATGTGGGATGGTCGCTTCCAACGGTCAAATTTCCCGTTTTATGAAGCATAAAAGGGTTTCGCATCAAAAAAGCAGTCCGGGCAAGGTTAATATTGCCACCTGGCTGTGGCACCATGTTCACAAAGGAAGCAGTCAAAATCTTCAAGATAAAACTCTCTATTTGGACGAACCTGTGACCGCCAAACGGAAACTCAATTGAAAGCAAGCAATGCACGTTGTACACTCATATCAGCACCCAGAACGTCAGTCGTTAAATAACAGACCACGGTTGGCCTGCGCCTTCTTTTATACATCATGCATTGAACTTAGCAGTCATGTCAATGATGGTCGCGCAATCTCTGGAACAAGCTTGAGTGTTCATGCCTTGCGCACAATCTTATCAAAATGATCAACAACAATCGTGAAGCTTTTCGAGCACTGAAGCGCAATCTGCAGAGTCTTTGTGGGCGTAAACCAAATGCAGCTAAACTGAAACAAATGCATGCGGCGATATGGAGGTGAGAAGAAAACAGAATTCCACAAGACACTCAATATGAATTCAGACTTTTCTTTCCAATCAATATAAACTTTATGTCTCTATGCCTTTCTATAGTCTTTGAGATAGAGATCCAAAACACCTTTCACTCCCTTTGCATCAATCATGAAAGCTGCACAACAAATGCATATGAAGGACAAGGTGTACCACTTTTATTTCGTGTTACTACAAGGCAGAACGCTTCAGGTTTGTAATGGCAACTAGGGCTGCTCTTCACAGCTGGGTTACTGTCTTCAGGAAGCTATAACCTCTCCTACACAATTCAAGCTTGTCCTATCTGCTCTTCTTCTAGGACTGTAGGAAATCAGATGCATTCGGTGCTCATTTATGCTAACAATGTGACGCTCAAGAATACGAAAGGTAGGTTCCCTGGAAAAATAATAGGAAACTAGCAATCTCATATGCCTGCAGGTCAGTGCGTATACCCTCGCAGTGTACCACAATAACTTATTGTACCAAAACATTTACTGTGCCACTGAACTTGTCGACACCGAAACGTACTGCAACAGGTCTCCCACCTGTTCTAGAAGTGTAGAGACGGCTAGATCATTGATTCTGATTTTTGCCTGATTGTTGCAATGCTTTGCGAGGAATCATCCAGAAAGAACAAAGACAAGATGGCGGCCACCGACGAATGCATCAGTGTCACTTATAGCTGACAAGCTGCCTCCAGCTACCTGTTTTGGCCAACACATGGTGTAGCGCTACCTCAAGACTACTGCTCACTTTTGACAGTCGACAACCTGTGTGTCAAAGTGCACTTCCTATTGCGGAGTTCAGCGTCACAGATTGCGGTTACTCAGAAAACTTGCTGCATGTAGTAAGAAGTTTAAGAATAGCACATGCAAAGCTTCGCGCTAGCATTTGTCACCACTGCATCATACACTATCCTCTCAGGTACACAAGAAAACACAATGTTCTAGAATAGCTTATGCAAAGATAACGTTTGTTCAAAGCAGAAAACAGACTGCCCAAGGTTTTTTGCTTTATCACCGGCTGAAACAACCCCAATCAACAAACTTTGACATGCCTGGCAACCCTGCTCCTAATAATAAAAAGAATTTCCACCTCCGATATACTATTGATGTAATCCTCATCGTCTACCTCATCTTCCAGGCCACTGGGTCGCTTCCCACCTTGCCGTCATGCGTGGACTTTCACACATTCAACAGCAATGCGTTATATATAAACACACACACCCACGCTCTCACACACGTACTCCAAACACTGATACACCGCTGATGCATTACAAACTGCTCCTATTTGAAAACCTAATCCGTCTATTGTTTGGACTCACATGCAACACTCATTAGGTTTCCCCATAGTATTTTTTTAACAAACTGGCTCTTTTCAAAAAAATACTTCGGGATATTTCGCCTGTTCACTTACGCCACATTGGCTGAGCCCGTTGTACCTCTTGGTGGTGCAGGCCACCACGATTTTCTTTTTAGTTATTTTCACGTATATGGTGACAAAAAAGTGTGCACACACACACACTCAATCCTTTGCTGTTACAGCAGAACACTTACTTTTTTTCAAAATCTTATGGCAAATGCATACCTGAAGAAACATCTTGAGGCTCTGTTTGCGTAGCACATGTTGACAGAATTTTCTTTTCATTCGCCTGTGACGCTTCATCATGGGTTGGCAGCCGCACTTGAACAGATTTATCTGTGATATGACCCGGCTCACACGCTGGCTGCGGTGATGTTTCCATAACTTGTCCTGATTCACAAGTTGGATTCAGTGCTGCCGCCTGCTGTACTGATTCTACTGCAGTGTCATCCTGAAATAAATCAGCTTTTGTTGTTGCAAGTGATAACGTCAAGCATTATTGCAGAGAAAAAAAAAATCGGAGGGCTGCTGTCTGCAGCCCTCGAAGAATCTGCAACAGTGTATAAACAGATAGGTAGCTGACATGTAAACCACAAAATGATTACTTATGGCAACTCTTAACATAAATACCTTTCATACGTGTTTGAAATTTTATAGTGAAACCACCAATACTATTCCCTCATTGCCTGTTCTTACGGTTCTATCTCACTGTTCTGAGCTTTACCTTTTAGTAATTGCCATCAATGTCACTCAAACAAGCCAATCTTTTTATATACTTAATTGCACAGCTTGATTTAGAACTTGTGGTAGAGTAATAGTGGGTACTGCAAGACATTTATGTGGTTACACTTCATTGAAATTGAACTACTGCAGATCGGCTACTGCAGAGCTGGAAATTATTGACAGAATCGTAGTGAAGAGGAGGCAGAACTTGGGTGTCTGCTGCTGTGCGCCTGATCTGCACTGGTATTCAGCCAGCGCTACATCAACTGTGCCTTCCATCAGTGTCTTCCAAGAAATCGTCACACGACCGAATACCTTTGTCTTTACGTATACCTTACAAGTGACGGCAATTTCTGCTTTTCGTCCATCATAATCGAACCCACAGAGTTCAAATCTCAGTGACCACGCCGTGTTTATGTTCATGCGACCAATGTTTTGGCATAGTTTGTGTGTTTTATTAGTCGGGCTAGTGCTTATGATGAAGGAGAATTGTTCAGGATGTTATGCAGTCTGCAGCAAAGCAGTGTCGACTGGGCACTCGGATCCATCATGTGCAGTGTTTGAGCCCGTAGTATCACTTGTAATGGCTAAACAACTTCGCACAAGATGGAAATATAACTTGCCTGTAATGGAGTGACACCGGCACACACAAACCTTGTTCAACGTCTTCAGGATTTTGCTCTTTATGCGGGCATAAGCCATGTGCTCTGCTTCTCGGACAGCTATTTCGTGCGCATGCAAGTATTTGTAATCACCTTTGACAAACGGTACACGCCCACGTCTAGTATTTTTTAAAATGATTTATAGCACAGCTACTTCTTGTGTGGCATTCAAGTATTACACATATGCCATAGCAACGGGCAGCATTGTCAGGAAATACAAGATCCGCAGAGATAGACTCGGTGTTGTCTGGTCAGTGATGGCACATGCCGAAATAGTATTGCAGGGTTTCGTGGTGTGACATACTCGCAAGTAATGTACACCTTTCTTATTTTATATGCTTAAGCATTCATACGCCAAATGAAGGAGAGTGCTGTGCATCTCTCCGTCACACAAGAAGATCATTGCTATAAAGAAATGTGAATAAAATGAACTTTCACTCTGGTGCTCGATTTTGAACCATGGCCTTACACTAAATGTATATTATCCACATGAATGCGCTGTACCCGCAGTGAAAAAAGCGAATGTAGATAACCCTTGCTATAAATTCAATTTGTATGCTTTGAAGTCCCGAAATCACGATAATTATGAGAGACGTCGTAGTGGACAGCTCTGGACATGGTGACCGCCTGATGTTCTTTATTGTGCACCTAAATTTAAGCACACAGGCCTTGAGCGTTTTCGCCTTCACCAAGAACGCTGCTCATACTATAAAGGCTTCGCTGAATTATGTGGAAATCGAATAAAAGCGTTCTTCTGAACATCATGTCAGGCAGAGAGAAGGACCGTACATATCAGAAAATTCATATTTTCCAACAGCTTTTTGCCAAAAATTCATCTCGATGCTTGCTGTATGCACTTTCTACGAGGCCATATGAAGGACTTTGCAAGTCAGATGCGATGGTAAATTTTATTCTGTAGCCTAATTTGACTGCATACATCTAAACCTAGCAACATTAGTTGAAGAGCCTGCCAAATATACACTATAGCCGAGTGCTTCAAGATGAAAGGCGTCAAGCTATTATCTACCTTATGGGCTGATAAGACGGCCCCCCCTGCTCGGCTCACCTAGTGACTAGAGCTGAAAAAGGGGACTGCATACATCCGAAGTCACCCTAGGATCTCGTGCATTTTCGACGAACATCATGGTTTGATTGCATAAAAGCAAGCTAATGCCATCCCTCGACAACATTCCGCACCGATACAAAACTGATGAGAGAATAACGCTAAATTCAACTTCAAATAGCAACACGTCTCAGCACCTGTAGGACAATAGGGTGATGGAAATGGAGGTGAGAACATAAGAAAGTCGAATCCATCGCCAAGGATGCGGCAAGTGGCTTCAAATTGGATGTTCAATCCAGTTTTTCCTAGGAAGTGAAGAACCGCGCTGAAAACCTGGATGTAACAGTGGGCCGGAAACAAAAGGTTCCTTTGTGTATCCACAAACAGACCTTGGCGGCAGAGCAGGGCCATCAAGGCAACAAGCTGAGCGTTGAATTCGCTCGAATGTTGCATATGTCTTGCACGCTGTGGCCGCATGTGAGGAGGCTCTGCGAACTGCATGACGCCAAGCTGCAGGCCTGGAGCAGCCAATACGTAGAAGTGGCTGGGGAACTACTCCCAATCGGGGGAGTTTTGTCAGGAATGAGGTCGATGGTTCTTGCCGGGCTCCCCGCTTGTCAAGGTAGCAACTTGGCAATAGTCACCTCACGGTAACCCTGGAAGAGTTCAGGGCAACCACAACATGGCACACAGCAAAGGTTGTGTGATGCACTTCTTTTGCGAGTGTGTCCGCCTCCTCACTTCTCTGGACTCTTGTTTGAGGTGGGAGCCAATTCAGCGAAACATCGACGTCACTGGCAATGATGCTTGGTGAAGATATATTGAGCTCCAAAACTTGCCTGCTTCGGTTTTGCCACGATCAGCAGCTCGGCTCCTGAGACACATGCAACAGCCGCAAGGTACCATGGAGGGTCTACTGTCAGAAGTTTCATGATTAGGTGGAAACCGGCCGTCCCTGTGGCGGCAAAGAGTCTAGCACTGTATGACGCTGTCCCATGGGGCGTGAGCAATACGTGTACCTGTACTGGTATTTGCACACGATCATCTGTCAGTTAGCCAGTGGTTGGAACGTGGTTAGAGTAAGGCTGCCCTACTAGCACTGGAGTATGGACGTGTAGCGGTCGAGGTGGTAAAAGGTGACTTCGGATGGTGAAGTTGTGAAGCATGCAATGCAAAGAGCTGAGCAACCCCTGCGAAGGCTCTCTTCGCCTCATGAACAGTCAGACGGTCGTGTATACCGATACACAACTATGAGACTTCGATACAAGCAGACAGTGATATTACTGCAACTAAAGGTTTACTGATTAAAATTGGCAGATCATGATGAAACTTCCTGCGAAATTAAAGCATGAAACGACAAAATCGAGACAGCTTGTGCTAGTATCGATGACACGCAGAATGAATTAGGTAAACTGAATTAGGCATGTACCGAAAATACAGCACATATAAATGAACTGCTTACCTGGATAAATGAGACTTAAAATAAATCAACATGAAATAATTTAGTTTTCTATGGCACAGAACATAAAACCTAAAGAACCATGGCTTGATACAAAAAAAAAATTAACATCAAACATAGTAAACAAATCATAGACATAGAGGTACAACATCAAACATAGTAAACAAATCATAGACATAGAGGTACAACTGCGCGATATTGAATGTGCACATCGCATAGAGTCTCACCAAACTGAGAAATGCAAGCATATAGTCGTGAGATTCGCTCACTTTAAAGATAAAGAGGGCATCTTATGCCGCAGGGTGGAAGATATAGGCTACGCCGTCACGCAAGATCTCTCCCCCCAGCATGAGCCCTGCCCACAAATGCCTCGCCAAGTTTTTAAGGGCCTGAAACTTGCGTTACAGGTTATGTCAAGAGAAGCTAATCACAGATGAAAGAGCCTATTATGTATTACGAATTCACTTCTAATGAGGTCTTTGAAGAACACCAATAGCAGTCATCGAGATCGCATTAGAAACTCTCTTCACGGAATCAACACCTTTCATTTTGCTGGCTAATACTTATAGTGTATTCCGAAATGCAATGCATTGTGCAGTTTAATACGCTCATCTTCATGTGATGTCTTACTATTGACAGAAAGATGGCTAAACACATCAGTAGATTATTTCGAGATTCTCCTCTTTCTTTCACACTTGACATATTCTGGAAAGATATAGCCAATAATTTGCGCAGTGGTGGTGTATTTACCCTAACATGGCCTTCATAGTTCACACGTAAGCCTTCCTAAAACATTCGAAATGATCAGGCTTCAATGCACTGCCACACACTCGCACATCCTCAATAGTGCCTGCTATCGACACCCATATTCTGACAGTTTATTCACGCCTTTACTTCATGAAGATTTAAACACGTTCATAAACATGCATCCTCATAGACCTGTCCTATTGTTCGGTGATTTTATTTTTTCAGTAATGACTAGTCTGATCCCACTTGTTTTTTTACCTAACAGCAACCCAGCGAGCTGTTTACTAAACATGTCATTCGGCTAAACACAGCTCGTCACCCATCCCGTTCTGAATTTTTTGTTAAGAACGCATCTTGATAACTTCACACCTGTCATTACCTTGCATGGCTTGAGCATGATCTACAACCCACACTTTTTTTTATTGCAATGTACTTAAGAAACAAGAAAATGAGAAGCACACTATAGGATAAAGCAGACTACGTTAGCATGAAGTGCGAATTTAAATGACAATTTTGCCGCTACCTTTCCACGAAATTATCTCAAGTAGAATTGGTTGCTTTTGAAAGCAGAGATGCATTGCCTTATACATAGTGATAGACCGGCCATTATTATAAAAAAAAATCCTTGAATGAGTGAGTTGATCCCTTCAACGACCTAAAAATTTAAAAAATGCCTTTTTCAGCTGCCAAACAAGCTAACTTGTGCTTCCTCATGGAAAAAGTATTAAGCGGTGGAGAGAAGGCATTATAAGCTAACCCTCAAAACGAAGCACCAGTTTTTTCCCAACACCTCACCAGCTATGTTGCAAACTAACCCGAAGAAATTTTGCAAGGCAATCCTTCTCGGTGTAATGAGATTTTACTTAATTATAGCTCTGGACTTTTTATTCTCAAGAATGAAGTTGCTGATTGTCTTCACGCAGTATTTTGTTCTGAGCCACCAAACAGTTTACCCAATCTTCCACCTATCTGCTTATGCAAAACACCGCATTTGCAGGCGACATGTCATACTTCTAGATTACATAAAGCAGATGTCAGCATCCGTGCAGATATTCAGTGTGGAGTCATTCCATTCCCTCGTCAACCATTAGTGGATGAGGGACCATTCCACTCTCTCATTATGAATCAGTGACCCTTAGTGGAGGGCACACGGCGGCACTCGTCTGCCCTCCACTAAGGGTCACTGATCCGTTTATGGGGAGGCAATTACCGGGCAGATTTTGAGGGCTGAGGTATCGGCCCACTGAAAAGCACTGCGAAAACATGCACCATTTAAATGTTAATTCTTTTAGTTCATTAACAACGCCGGTTGCCGTCCAAAGACCGAGTTAAAAAGCAAGAGTTTACGACACAAACAAAATATGTATTCTCAGCAAAGGTATCACACAAAGTGCACACTTGGCAGCTATCAATTACAACTTACAAAATCACTTAGAAGGTATTGAAAACAACAGGCACAAACTTACCACACTACAAATGTAATCTCACGCAGTATAAACTGCGCAACAATGCTTATCCACCACACGCGTCAGGCACAAACTTACCACACTACAAATGTAATCTCACGCAGTATAAACTGCGCAACAATGCTTATCCACCACACGCGTGTGGTGGATAAGCATTGTTGCGTCCACCACACGCGTGTACTCCACAATTCTTCGAACGTGTCTCGAAAATTTCTCTTTCAAGGAAACACTGAAACTCCAGCGCTAGTCGTCTTTCTGACGACACTCCTTGACAAAGTGCTCTAGCGGCGTCATAACTCAATTCTTCAACATCAACTGACTGCACTACACGACTCGCTCACACCACTCAAACATCACAACTTCTTGGTCGATGTTCAACACCCGTTTTACCCTCGATATCTTTAGTTTGGATCCTTTCTGGTTTTGCGAACATTCCAAGTAACTGTACGGCGCGTAGCACATACCAGGGTGGCAGCCAGTGGAAAGGGTTTCGTCTCGGCGGTTCGTCAGTGAAAACAGTCACCCTCAAAGGAGCCCCGCTTCGCTTTCTTATCTGTGCTGGTTGGCTGTCGCATGTGTAGCACACCCTGGGCACCTTCTGATGCTTTTTTTTTCGTTGCATGCGCCTGCGAAGAGAACGTTTCGCAAAGTGATTTGATGTTGTCGTCTGGAGGCAGCAGCTGTCTGCTTCAGCACTTGTTTGTGACAAAAATAAGTGTTCTGTTACAAACATAAGCATCCCGATACGCTTCTTGAAAGTGTAGATCGCAGGGGAATACATTGTGCTTCAATGTAGCATCTTGTTTTGCATTCAAGCTGCTAAGCGGCACATAACAGCTTCGCGGCATCACACTAAAAAAACCTGTCTGCCACACACACATGCGGGCACCAAAGAATCATACTTGATCACAGGAAACATGAGGCGGACTGCCCCCCACATGATCACACACAAAAAAGCACAAGAAAGCACACGGACGTGGACATGCAAAAATCCTCACACAACTACATTGAGACACAAAGTGCCATCTGCTTTGACAGGTGAAGCATCAGCACCTTCCACAAAAAAGTAATTGAAACTGTCAACTCTGCTCAGACGCGCTCGCCCATTGATAGTGGTGCGACACAGCAGGTCGCACCTAGTTTTTTATCCAGCGGCTGTGCCTGTGCTCACTGCCTTTGCTATCATAAAAATCATGACTACCGATTCGGCAGTCATTACTTTTCTACCACAGTTTTAATTTCGCCACACCTGTTTGAGCCGAAGCTCACAGCCAGTCGGCACCTTAAAAAAACTGAGCAATGAATCAAGCAGTGCCAGACAAAGAACTACAATCGTTGCCGTGGTGTCCATCGTTACACGATCTTAAATCAAGGGCAGCAAGTGTGGATAAACGATTTCAAACACAGAGGCAACATTCTAAGGCGGGCTGACTCGCCACGCTCATGCTGGATCCAGTGAAAAATGGGCAGTGTCCGCCGCAACAGAAGACACCTCGTGAAAGACAGCGCAGGTGTACCGTTGAACTGTTGGACAATCATCTCACGTCACTGGACACGCCATCTCATCTGTCTGCTCAAGCTCAAGGCATGAAGGAATCGGGAACGGCACAGTGAACACTAGTCGCGCCATCACCCTACGTCACAACGCGTAGGATAATTGTGCGCCCTCCTGCACAGTTCTGCAACTGAAGGGGGAAGATGTAGTGCCGGGAGTTACCTCTTTGCTTTGGCGTACTTACAAGCCCCGCGTCTGGCGACCGACAGAAATAGCATACGGCCTTTATGATTCCCTACCGTTGCTATGCGCCGGACGTTATGTGATAAGAGCTGGTTTAGGTCTTAGGTGGCATGGGCTTCAATTGAAGTAGCCAAGAGGCGCGTGATGTACTCGGGGAGCGTTAGAGCTTCAATAAACCAGTTTTATAGTTCAACTCTACAGCACATCACTAGATAGAACATCATGCCAGCTCCACCTGTATCGTGAAATGCTTTCTGGCAAGCCAGTAGCGTTTCTATCCACTAAACTACATCTGAAGGGGAAAACAACATGATGGAACTCGCCATGAACGACACACATTTACTGCAACAAGCAGGAAATCGATAAGGCGCAGTAAAAAGTAGCGCGCAAGTTGCACACCAAGTTTGTGAATCTCATTACCACGATTTTACTCGTGATGGTGAAACCATACATGCTATCTTCAAACATTGGTGTCATTGACTGTTGGGTAAATGAAGTAGTGGTAACACTGCAAATGGCAATCGCTGGTTGCCCGTGCTACGCACTTCCTCAGGTTCCACAGCTGCATAAATGTATTTAACAGAGGCTTTAGAACTGCACCAACTCTCACTTCTTTTTGCTAAGTGGGCATATTAGGCTCAGCGATGAAAGTGACTTTTTACTTTTTAGGGCACACTTTGGAGCAGGAAAAATACTGCATTGGAACATCCATGAGTGTTTTCGGAGTGGAAAAAAATGTTAGTTTGGAAAAGCTATTGGTGTTGTAGGAGAAGCCATAAAATCTGCCATACATCAATTGCAGTTCAAAGCATCATCGAAGAATCTCATAAATATTAAAATATTTACTATGAAATGTATTTCACAAACAGCAATCAATGCGAAATTTAAAAAGCAAACAATTAAAAGCATGGCTGGTTTTCCAAGATGGGCTGTGAAATGAGCTATTTAGAATACCAGTATTTGTGGCCAAAATGAGATCAAACTGGTAAAGCTGAGCACCACATTTTAGAAGTAACCACAGTCCCACAGAACTGTTGCCTAACAAGCAGTGGTTAATCGGTATGAGACAATTTAAAAAAGCAATCCTGCTCATTTTCATATTTCACCTACAAGCCTGTGTGTCTAGCTGAAAATAAAATAAAAACTGCCATACAAGCTAATTGCTTAATATAGCTACATGCATGCATATTGATATTCTAAGGGGTGACGCACGTGTTTGCCTGACAAGGAAGACGAAGGGTTGTCACCACTTGATCGCTGGTGAACCAGTCACGCCATTACCGCTGGTTTTAAATACATCTAATCCCCAGCCTCGTCGATACTGCGTCTCTTCTTTTCCGTAACATATTTGGTGGTGATGCTGGTTAAGGCCCGTAATTGACGACCATGTCACCCGTTTTACGGCAGACCTATGTTTCGATCACCCACATCACTCCCAGGATGCCACGTGCCTGGATGCGACCTTACGCTCCATGATCGCCCCAGACTTCAAACCTGAGAAGTCAGCCGCACTATGCAGCCTTGTGTTCATACCGCAACATATTCGACATGGACAGCCGTCCACTCGACCAGACTCCACATCTTCAAGCACCGCATTAACAGAGGTGATTCTCATCCCATTCATCGACGACCATACCGCGAGTCTGCAGCTGAGCATGAAGTAATTCAACAAGAAGTCACCAAAATGCTAGCCAAAAAAATTATTGAACCCTCTTCGAGCCCTTGGTCATCCCCCGTTGTGCTCGTTTAAAAGAAAGATGGCACGTGGCACTTCTGTGTGGATTACTGCCATCTGAATAGAATCATGAAAAAGGACGTTTACCCTTTACCACGCATCAATAACGCTCTCGAGTGTCTCCACGGCGCCCGATACTTTTCTTCAATAGACCTACGTTCCGGCTACTGGCAGATTGCTGTCGACGAAAAAGACCAAGAAAAGACTGCATTTGTAACTCCAGACGGCCTATATCAGTTCATGGTTATGCCGTTTGGGCTATGCAACGCCCCAGTCACGTTCGAGCGCATTATGGACTCTCTGCTACAAGGGTTCAAATGGCCAACACGTCTTTGTTATCTTGACGATGTCATTGTATATTCCTCAACATTTTTGAGACCAACCTTCAGCGTTTGTCAGCTATTCTCGACATATTTCGCACTGCAGGCCTTCAATTAAACTCATCGAAGTGCCAGTTCAGACGCCGGCAAATTACAGTGTTGTGCCCCCTTGTCGACGCCTCTGGTGTGCAGCCAGACCCCGAGAAAATTCGTGCAGTCACCAGTTTTCCTGCACCGCAGTCAGTCAAAGACATCCGGAGTTTTGTAGGACTTTGTTCCTATTTTAGAAGGTTTGTGAAAGATTTCCCAACCATTGCTCGACCCCGCACTGAGCTTCTGAAGAAAGATGTCAACTTTACAAGGGGTACCGACCAAGGTGCTGCTTTTTCTCACTTAATCACGCTACTGACGACTCCACCTATATTGGCTCACTTTGACCCATCCACTCCGACTGAAGTCCGAACCGATGCTAGAGGTCACAGAATCCGTCTTCATGACCTTCCATGTACTTCGTGTCCTTCCAGCTGCTGATCACCTTGGTGTGTCACGCACTTACGACTGAATACGCCAACGCTTCTTTTGGCCAGGTTTTGCACGCTCAGTCAGAAGATAAGTTGCGGCTTGTGAGAAATGTCAGCGCCACAAAACACTATCAACACTTCCCGCCGGACACCTTCAACCACTTGACATTCCATCAGAACCATTCTTCCGCGGTAGCTTGGACCTACTTGGCCCTTTTTGGATAGCCGTGGCCACCGACTACGCCATGCATTATGCCATCACACGAGCTCTTCCAACAAGCTGCGCCACAGATGTCGCCGATTTCCTCCTCAAGGACGCGATTTTGCAACACTGAGCCCCACGGCAGCTGCTTACAGACCGTGGCCGCACATTTTTGTCGAAGGTCATAGCCGACATCTTGCAGCCCTGTGGTACACTTGTGTCTTGCAACGAGACACAAGCTGACTACGTCACACCACCCGCAAATCCATGGACTCATGGAGCGTCTGAATCGAACTCTTACAGACATACTCGCTAAGTATGTTTCTACCAACCACGTCGATTATGATCTCGTGTTGCCATACATTAATATTTGCCTACAATTCTTCGCGCCATGACACTGCCAGCTACTCTCCATTTTTTACTGCTGTTTGGCTGAGAAACGACATTGCCTCTAGACACGGTCATACCGTCCTCTGCAGTACCGACCAGTGAATATGCCATGGACGCTATCACTCGGGCTGCTCACTCACGCGAAATCACCCGTACTTGCCATCTCACATCTCAAGAGAAGCAACAGCATTTGTATGACTAACGACACCGCGACGTACACTTTCCGCCCGGTTCTTTCGTCCTGCTCTGGTCTCAGACCCGTCAAATTGGCTTGTCAGAAAAACTGCTTACTCGCTACACAGGTCCATACCGAGTCCTTCGTGTGGTTACTCCTGTAACATATGAAATTGGTCCTGCCACTCCTTAGCCTTCATGCGCCCAACAGACTACCGATATTGTACATGTTGCGCGCTTGAAGCCCTACCACTCTCCTAGTGATGTTGACATTTAGGTGCGCCGAGACGGTGCTTGTGCCGCGGGGGGTTACGCTACATTCATGCATATTGATATTCTAGGGGGCGACGCGCGTGTGTGCCTGATGAAGGAGACGAAGGGTTGTCCCCACTCGATCGCTGGTGAACCGGTCACGCTATTACCGCTGGTTTTAAATACATCTAATACCCAGTCTCGTCGACACGGCGTCTCTTCTTTTCCGTAACAATATGCTAGTTTTTGCCGAATAAGTCGATAATGGTGCCCACTAGTAGCATACTGGGATGCTATTACAGATATTATGTTCAGTTTTTTTTTTTTTTTTGAGACTTATCAGCTGGCCAAACCAGTCATAGTTCATCATTCTCTCTATGCAATTTCGGGGGAGGATTGGAGCAATTACTTATAAAAATACAGTTTTGAGCAGCAAGGAGTAGCATTTCTCTTTTGGAGCAATTGCAGCAGCACTTCCATCACACTGTAAACTCCAACATACGATATCACACCTGCTTTGTTCGTCTCGTCGAGAATGCTGCCCTCTGAGCCCAATTATGCCGTGTGTGAACAAAGGTCGATGGCACAGCACCACATAACAAGCTACACATTTCACTGGAATTCCCACAGGGATTAGCGAGAAATCCTGGTGGTATGCTGTCAATCTTTCGAGTGAGCAACGGTTCACGAAGGCTCAAAATTACTTCCTCACACAGCAACAATTACTGAGCAGCTCTTTTTTTTCTACGCAAGAAGTTGTCAAACACGACTTACGTTGTCTCGGCCGCTGGCGCTCGTTATGCCGTGCGCAGAGCAAGAGGCAAGCATGACAAGGCTGGGGACGTTGACAATTCAGGATAGGAAGGACGCCTGACGTGGAAATCCTGCGCACGGTGAATGTGCGTCTGCCCGGGACGCGTCTTCTCCCTTTCTCGTCGCTCTGTTCTCGCGCTATAACTATCGTCATGTCATACCAACCAGCCCAAACAACTTCTCTACAGCGGCCACGATTCTCTACAGCGGGTACGCAAGCAAAGTCGCCCCATTCCACGGAGGAATGATCCATTCACTTTAAGTGGGCGCTGCCATCTTGGCTAAGGTGGCTATAAAAAGGAGAGGTGTCAGCATCGGCGCGCCGAAAAGCGAGCGAAAATTCTTCCAGATGCGGCGGCGCTGCGGTCGCTTTCAAGATGCTCCTCCTCGCGCCCGCCTATCAGTCACTCTTCGTTCCAAATATTTCATGCTACCCTGCGGATTATCACAAAGTCTACCTGTCAGACTTCTGGCGGCCCTCTGGAAAGCGTGTATTGGTACTGAAAACTAGTGTTTTTAATTCACTTCTACGTAGATTAGAAGATAGAGAAAAAGAGACTTGCCGTGAGCTTGACACCAAAACGAAGTCCGTGTAGTTTTCACGTTGATGCCGCAGTGTTCTCCGTAAAGCCTCAATGCACGTAAAGCTATCAGCAACCGTTATTTTTATGACTTGCGCAATCAAGGTCTAATTGTACAAGCAAGAATACATTTTTTTTTCACGAAAGCGAAAAACAAGATGAAAAATAAACACAACATATGCATTAGGCTTGGAGAAAACTGCAAGTTATACGAAACTTAGCTAAAGCAAGTGAACAAGACAACTAAAAAGAACAGTAAAAATTCGGCAGATTCCACCTACCACGTGAATCCACGTTATGCGAAGCAAGCTGAGACATAGCTTCCTAGATTTCCCTTGCCTACCGGATTATGGGTGGTCACTTGGAAAGCGGCCGTCGTCGAAACAATGGTGGTGACGCCACCTAAGTAGGGGTGTCTTCAATTAAGTTTTTACGTTTTCGGAGCTTATATGCAACAAAAATAACGTAAAAAGTTTTTAAAAAGCGTAAAAGTAATGAAAATTAACCCTACGTAAGTGACGCCGTCATTCAGCAGGCAACTTTTTCGAAACAAGGCATAGCCTCTGAAATTTGTAGCAAACGCCAAAACTGTCGATTTCAAAGGCCAAGTATAAAAGCCTTTACTCGTACGTAGGCAGCGCCGCCATAGATGACGGGCGTTTCGCGCTCATCCGGCAGGCAAAGGAAATCTAGGAGGCTATGGCTCAGGGAAGGTGGCCTAGTGGCAATTTTGTATTGAGCGACGCATCATGAAATGACGCTAAATATATGTACAGATGTTACAGGCACAAACATATGTTGAAGAGCTGCAGATGGTTATATAACAGGTTGTTTGCACTTGTGCAACGATGCCAACTGGAACATGCGTATTACCAACACCGGAAGCTGATATGACGCACAGATGCTCGCGAGGATACTCGCCCTGGACACTGCTACATAAATCAACTTCAGCGCATGACAACTAACTACAATTGCCGTTAACACGACGTGATGGCTGTATCAAAGGAGTACATATGTAATGTTTATAAAATTGGGTAGACAGCGCTGCAGCCACTACTGAGGTGTCACGACGATTAGCGTCAACTTGAAAACTGGTTCCGAGACCTGGTATGGATGTTCTGTGGTATAGCCAGGCCCCGGAAACTCGCAAGTTCAAGTGCTCACCTGTAGGGGGCAAAAAAAAAAAAATCCAATTGCAACGATTGGCAGTAGTGGCGTAGTAGGTTAGAGCCGCGCAATAGGGACTGGCGAGGTCGGTGGTTCGAGCCTTATTGCAGTCTTTGTTACTTTTTAGATGAAGGTGGCTCCAGAAGTCTGGGTAGCGATCATAAATGTATCAAGCTAAGTTTTGGAAGAGCAGTGAAAGTAAAAAGGAGACAATATGAGCAAATACAGGAAAATTTTTATTCAAAAAGGCAAATAGATATAGCTACTAAACATACTGAGAAAGTAATCGCTGAGGATAATAAAACGGCGTGGACATACACGAATCTAATTGGACTGTTTGGGCTAGAGCTTGCTAAGGCAGGTGACAAGTCACCCCAGAAAAGGAGAGACAAGCCCAAGAGTTGGTGGGATGATGAAGTTAAGAGAGCGATAGCAAAACATCAGGAAGCCTCTAGGGAACACAGACATGCTAAGCAGCGGGGTAAATCGACAGATGATGTTGGAAGAAAATGGGACATCTTTCTAAGCTCTAGAAGGGAAGCATCCCTCCTGATCAATTAAAACATTAGAAGAAAGGGTGCACAGTGGCTGGCAGAAGTACATAAAAAGGACAGAAAGGCAGCTGCGAAATTTTGGAACCATCTGAACTCCCTAAGAAATGAAACAAGCTTAGAGCAGAGGTTTATAACTACAGCTCAAGGTGCTGGGCTAGAAGGGAACGAAGCTATTGAATATATAAAAACAAGGGTGACAGAAAGTTTTCAAGAAAGAAGTGCCAATTACGCACCACAATAGACAAGGATGGATCAAGTGTAGCAATGGCTCCATTTTCACAACGAGAGTGGAAAAGGGCTGAGAAGAAGGTTACAAGTAGTACATCAACAGGCCCAGGTGGCGTTCCAATTATGCTGATAAAGACATTGAGTCTGAAGTATAAACAGACTTTGAGAGAGGCAGTGAGCAAAATAATAATCGATGGTGAAGTCCCCGATGAATGGAAACTTCGCAGGATGAACATGATCTATAAAGAAAAGGGAAACAAAGCTGAAGTATACGACTACCGTCCTATAACAGTGACATCAGTGGTCTACAGGCTGGCGATGCAGATTATAAAGGAAAGACTGCAGGCATGGATAGAGGATGAGGGGGTGCTGGGGGAACTGCATAATGGGTTTTGGAAACAGAGGAGGTTGGAAGACAATCTGTTCTCACTGATGCAGTGCATCGAAATAGCAGAAATGAAACTCAGGCCCCTGTGGCTAGCATTTTTGGATATGAAGGGAGCGTACGATAGCGTGGTTCAAGAGGACTTGTGGGGAACACTTGACACACTAGATGTGGAAGATGGAGTCACTAATCTTTTAAGAGAAATCTATAAGAGTAACAAGGAAGCTATAAAGTGGGAAAAACAGGTATTCAAGCCCACTGAGGTGAAACGGGGGCTTAGGCAAAGGTGTCCTGTGCCACCCTTGTTATTCATGACGTACCTACAAGGATAAGAGCCCAAATTTGAGGGAAGCGGACTTGGCTTCAACCTCTCTTTCGACAAACAAGGAAAACTCATTGATCAGGCACTACCAGCATTAATGTACACAGATGATATAGTGCTAATGGCCGTCAACAAGGAAGATTAGCAGAGATTGATTGACATCTGAATTAATGAGGAAGATAGCTTAGATTTCAGATTCAGTAAGGAAAAATCAGCAGTCATGATTTTTAATGATAAAGAAGGTTGTGAGCTTAGGATACAGGAGGTTACGCTACAGGTAAAAGATAAATACAAATATCTGGGTGTATGAATAAGCAATGCGACCGAGTACCTGAGGGTACACGAAATATACGTGACAACTAAAGGTAACAGGAATGCCGCAGTGATGAAAAATAGGGCACTGTGGAATTACAATAGGTATGATGTTGTGAGAGGAATACGGAAAGTGGTCATGGTTCCTGGGCTGACGTTCAGCAATGCGGTCTTGTGCATGAGATCAGAAGTTCAAGCAAGATTAGAAATTAAGCAACATGGAATAAGTAGGCTTGCTTTAGGAGCTCACGGGAATACGCCAAATCGGGGAGTACAAGGTGATATGGGATGGACATCGTTTGAGGGCAGGAAAGCTAGCAGCAAGATAAAATTTGAGAAGCGATTGAGAGAAATGGGGGAAGAGCGTTGGGCTAGGAAGGTTTTCAGCTACTTGTACATGAAGAATGTCGATACAAAATGGAGGGTGCGAACCAGGAAGTTGACTGGTAAATACTTAGAAAACAGCAGGTGGCCAAACCAAAAAGAACTATCGGTTAAGAAGAAAGTGAAGGAAATGGAGACTGACATGTGGAGAATGGGCATGATTAAGAAGTCCGCACTAGAGATCTATCGAACGTTTAAGCGGGAAATTGCCAAGGAAAGGATCTATGATAATACTCGGGGTAGTTCTCTACTGTTTGAGGCCAGAACGGGAGTACTGCGAACCAAGACATATCGGGCCAAATACGAAGGGGTAGACACACTACCCCTTCGTAGTGTGTCTGAGCACACGGGCTTACAATCTGAGCACACGGGCCTACAACATTTCCGCCTCCATCGGAAATGCAGCCGCCGCAGCCGGGATTCGAACCCGCGACCTGCGGGTCAGTAGCCGAGTACCTTAGCCACTAGACCACCGCGGCGGGGCAGACTGCCATGCAAGGACAGGATGACTACCCCCAAATGTCCACTCTGCAAGCACGTTCAAACATCTAAATGTCCACTACAACAGGTAATTTGAACCTCACACATGTAATGCTGTATTTGTGAATGTTTTACAGCGCATATCGTGGAGGGGTGCTTTAGATTGGCCACAAGCATTGGCTATCTACCATGGCATAGAATCTACACTTCGATAATGTTGAAACTGTAACACTATTAGTTAAATTTTGTTCCACTGCTGAGCTCAGTAACACTCTGTTTTATCCCAGCCACAGAGGCCATATTTCGATAGGGGTGAAATGCTAAGACGCTTGTATGCTTAAGGGTTTGTTCGATTTGCCTGCACCACATGATCCATTTTACAAAGTGCTGCACCTCGCCATTCGTTTCAGTGGGGTAGCAAGGGCATCTTCTAAATCGTGCCATTGATTTCAAAAAGCGCAGGAGAGGTACAGCACCAAAACTAGTTCATGACTTTCCTGTACCTTCTGCTCTGATGGCGCTGGTTTGGTGCAGCCGCACGCACAGCTTAACAAACAACATAGCATTAGACGTAGGCAATGTACCCATCTCTACAAATGCGGTGTGTTCTGCTAGGATGTTTGCACCTTTTCACTAAATTAAGCGAACAAAAATAAGAATTCCATCTTGTCAGCACCTTGTCATTCACTTGTGATGCCGCACTGCTGAACTCGTGCTGCACAAGTTCTGAACTTCTCGTGCACAGCTGTCAACCAGTTTCGATTGGTGCAGGTGAATTAAACTGACCCTTAAAAGATGAAAGCTTGAAATATGAAAAAATCTGTTAACATAAGGTGTCAGAGCAAATGTTTCGTCAAGTAGTCTCCAGTGAGGCTACAATGTA